TTACTTCTTGCGTGAATTTTGGGACACCCTATCCATGGGGTTGGGAAAACATCCTATTTAAACACCTGATCATTGTTAGTTTTGTTTGGGACGAGGTGAGAGAGAGGCGAGTGTAGATAGAGTTGAGTACATGGGCATCGCTCTGATTCCTCGTCACTCCCTTGTCCCACGGTTTTAAATACATCTACATGCCTTTGGATCCCAAATGTATTTGTCCAGCCCCAACCACGCTCTAAACTCACAGAGCAAACTGCCTCCCCGATGTCTCCATTACAAACATTACGTGGCCCGAATGGAAATCTCGCCTCCTAACTCCTGCTCTTCTATCCCCGTGACTCCCTGAGTTTTCCCCATGTGGGTAAATGACACCCATTCAAACCAGTATCTGAAACAAAATAATCACGAGTCTATCTTTTTCTTTCCCTCATTCTTCAGGTCAACAAGTCCTTTTGGCTTCGCTGCCAAAATATACTCTGACTCCATCCCCTCTCCATCGCCTGCTCCCTTAGCCCACGCATCATCCTCGGGCCTCCTCGTTGGCCTCCCTCCTCCCATTCTTGTTCTCCTCAGTTGCCTTCAACAGAAGTTCTAAAACTGCAAATCAAACCGCATCATTCCCCACGTTCACATCCTTTGCCAACTTCTCATCACAGTAGAAAAATGTCCAGGCTTCGTGCATGTCTAAGTCCCACAAAACTGATGCAAGTGGCTGCAGGCCACCTCGATGACCTCTTGTCCTTCCATTCTCCTCCACTGTCCACTCTGCTCCAGCCACCCTGCCCTCCTCCCCGCCATGGTCCTCGAATGTGCCATGCTCTGTTCTTTCTGCCCGGAATTCTGAGCTGAATCTAGAACCTAGCACGGCTGTTTCTTATTTATCATATGTAGGCTTCAACAGAAAGCCACCTTCCCTGTGGGCCTTTCTCTCATCATCCCGCCTCCATCCCCACACTAAGTGCCCTCCCCCGTCTACTCCTTTCCCCAGGGATGAAGATTTAGGAGCTATTATTTTTTTCTTTTATAACAAGTTCGCAATGAAACTCCTTAGATGTGTGTGTGTGTGTGTGTGTGTGTGTGTGTGTGTGTGTGCGAGAGAGAGAGAGAGAGAGAGAGAGAGAGAGAGGAGAGAGAGAGAGAGAACGTGCGCTCTGAGACATGGAGAAGTGAATTGCTGCATCCTAGAATATACACATTTTCAATTTTACTAAATACTGTCAAATTGCTCTCCAAAGTGCCTTTACCTGGCAGCTTCTGAGGGTTATTTATCCCTGTGTCCACTGCACTGTGAATTCTCTGACTTGAACATTTTGCAGCTTTGATAGATGACAAGGGGGAATCTTTTTGTTGTTCTATTAATGGCATTTCTCTAATTACCAAAGAGGTTGGGCATTTGGCTTAGATTTTTCATTGTCCATATGCCTTGATCACTGTTTATTTTTAAATTTTTATTTTTATTGATTTCAGAGAGGAAGGGAGAGGGAGAGAGAAACATCGATGATGAGAGAGAATCATTGATCAGCTGCCTCCTGCACACCCTCTATTGGCGATTGAGCCTGCAACCCAGGCATGTGCCCTGACCGGGAATGGAACCCTGACCTCCTGGTTCATAGGTTGACACTCAACCACTGAGCCACACTGGCCGGGCCTGACACTGTTTTTTTGGAGTGTTTATCATTGTCCAATTGACCTGTAGGATCTTTTATCAACATTTTGAACACTAACCTTTAATATTCTACAAATGCTGCAAATATCTACTTCTGACTATTACTTGTCTTGTAACATTGCCCACAATGTCTTTGATCACCCCCCGTTTTAAACCTATTGTCAAATATACAGATAATTTTTGTTATGGTTTATAGTCACTGTGCCTATGTAATAGGCGTTAACCTCTCTGAGATCAGCAAACCCTTTCTCTAGATCAGTGGTTCTCAACCTTCTGGCCCTTTAAATACAGTTCCTCATGTTGTGACCCAACCATAAAATTATTTTCATTGCTTCTTCATAACTGTAATGTTGCTACTGTTATGAATCGTAATGTAAATATCTGATATGCAGGATGGTCTTAGGTGACCCCTGTGGAAGGGTTGTTCGACCGCCAAAGGGGTCGCAACCCACAGGTTGAGAACCGCTGCTCTAGATGTCCTCCTAATCATGTTAAAGTTTTACTTCCCACATTTACAATGTATTTTGGGTGTGGTCTCTTCTACAATGAGAACACTCAATAGCGACAACAACAGGAGATGCAGCTCTGACAAGAGATTGTTTGACAGGCCCCTCTCCTTTGCCAGCCCCTCCCTCCGTGGGGACTCACCCAGCATGCTTCCCAGGAACTCCCCGTCCTTGTCAGAGAATTCGTTGTGGCTGAGATCCATTTCCTTAATTCTGTAATTGGCCTGGGGAAAAAGCAGTGGACAGAGAGGTATTGTGGGTCTTCCATGGGACTGCAAATGCCTCCCGTATCCTAGGTCAGTGGGATGGGAGCTCCCACATACCCAGAACAAGGGGGACTAGGGTTCTTGCACTGAAGACAATTTCGTGTTCATATTTTTGTTTGACTGTTGATGACACCTGGGCGAGTTTATTGCCACCCAAACAGTCCACCACCTGCTGTGGCTTTGGCCAGGATGAGCAGAGTCCAAACATTCCCCAGCGCCCTATACCATGCATTTCCCTAGACCCAGAGGCTCCCCAGCGCCCCCAGGCCTCCAGGGACATCTCCCACCTGGCTCAGCGGTACCCACCCCTGCTTCTTACCGACAGGGCCTGGCAGAGCAGCTCTGCAGATTGGTCCTTGAACTTATTTCCTGTCAGGAAGGAGGGCATGATCAGTGCTCTCCAGGCAGGGCTCCCTTGCCCTCCCACAGCCTAGCTCTGCCAGTCTCTTCCCCGCGGAACAATCAGATGTAGAAAAAGTGGCAAGTACTCAAAGCAAAAATATGGACACAGAAGAAAACAGGAGGAAAAGGGCAACTATTTACCCTCCCCTTTGACATTCTCTTTTTGCTCTGCTGTGACTGTCAGGGGAGTTCCAGGAGCAGGAGCACTATACCCTGTGCATTGCTGGAAGCATCAACCCCTAGCCTAGTGCCTAAAGTCTGTACCAGTATAAAACATGCTACTATAGCCCAGCTGGCATGGCTCAGTGGTTGAACATTGACCTATGAGCCAGGAGGTCACATGCCCAGGTTGCAGGCTGGATCCCCAGTGTGGGGCGTGCAGGAGGCAGCCGATCAATGATTGTCTCTCATCATTGATGTTTCTAACTCTCTCCCTCTAAGTTCCTCTTTGAAATCAATAAAAAAGGCTAATATAGTCTGAGCAGCAGAGACATGCCGGAAGGGGACGAGTGGGGCACTTGCCTTTGCGTGCAAAATCTAAAGGGCACTGAAAGACTCCGTAATCTCAATGAATAATATTTTAACATTTAAAAGAGTCCAAAACCAATGCAGAAGCATCCTATATAATAAAAGGGTAATATGCAAATGGACCGAACGGCGGAACGATGGTCACTATGACACGCACAGACAACCAGGGGGCAGATACTCAATGCAGGAGTTGCCCCCAGCCTGCAGGCCCCGATTGCCTGATCAGGGCCTACCAGCCAACCTCTCAGTCTCTTCCCCCCGGCCGGCAGGCTCCGATTGCCTGATGGTGGATGGAGAATGGGGGTGGGTGGCAGTGTGGGGGGGGGAGGGGTGGCCCCGACTGCCGGCAGCCAGGGAAGATGGCCCTGATCTCAGGCCAGGCCTAGGGACCATATCTGTGCACAAACTTTGTGCACCGGGCCTCTAGTCTATGATAAACAAAATTTGTAAATGTTAAATAAGGCAGGACCTGACCCTGCACTTGATTAGCCAAGCCTCACTCATCTTGCCTCACTCTGTCCCTTTTTTTATTTTATTATTTTATTTTATAAGACTCCATTGACTTTATTATTTTTTTAATATAATTCTTTAGAGTTGAAAGTATTACATATGTCTCCCTTTTCCCCCCATTCACCTCCCCACAGCCTGCCTCTGCCCCAGGACCTCACTGCCCCCTTGTCTGTGTCCATGGGTCATGCATTTATGCATACAAGGTCCTTGGTTGATTACCTCCCATCCTCCCCACCCTTCCCTCTGAGATTGTTCCTTTTGTACTGTGTTTCTTTATTTAAAGGGTTGATATTTTATTTCATCCCAGATTATTTTTGTATTGACTTTGACTTTAAAAAATATTGCATCAAGATATTATTGACTTCATTGCTGAGCTTTTTAATGCCCCTTAAATTGTGTGACTGAGGCAAATGCCTCCCTTACCTTGCTCTAGCCCCTGCCCTGCTAAGTAAGCAGTCTAAAAGATTTCTGGGGAATAAATGGCTTATCCCCAAACATCTTCTTTGAACTTTGTATCTCTAGCACCTAAACTGTGCCTGGCACATAAATGCTTCCTGACTTTATGAATGCACAAATGAAAATACCCACTGAAATACAAATATTTCTTTGGCTGTGCAATAAAATGACATAACAAGCTAGTCAATGTACAAAATCAGGTAATTTTATAACTCAGCAATTCAAGGAACACATCAGCTATAATTTGTTCAAATATTGTTGTTCACCTGTTCTTCTGGAACTCTGATTAGCTATTATAGTGAGTCTATTCTTCCTTTTATATTCTTTTATCTTCCATATTCTCTATCTCTTTATCTTCTATACTGCAATGATAGGTAAAATATCCTTTTATCTGTCTTCCAGGTCACTAATTTTATTCACCCATAGCTACTTTGCTGTTGAATTTATCCATTGAGTCTTTAATTTCAATAACTCTTATTTCTAGAAGTTCTATTTTGGGGGAGATCTTTAAAAAAAAAAACAGTGAGCCCTAGTCGGTTTGGCTCAGTGGATAGAGAGTAGGCCTGTGGACTGAAGGGTCCCAGGTTTGATTCCAGTCAGGGGCATGTACTTTGGCTGTGGGCACATCCCCAGGAGGGGGTTTGCAGGAGGCAGCTTATTGATGTTTCTCATTGATGTTTCTAACTCTCTATCTCTCTCCCTTCCTCTCTGTAAAAAATCAATAAAATATATATATTTTAAAAAACAGTGATTTGTTCTTGCATTTTTTGGGTTTTCTTAATCATAATAAACACTAGGGGCCCAGTGCACAAAATTCTTGCAGGGGGGGGGGGTGAGGGGAGCAGCTTCAGCCTGGCCTGCAATGACAGCAGCGTCCCTCGCCCTGGCCTCTGGCCTGAGGCTCCTCCCCTCCCTCTGCACGGCTGGGGCGCAGACGTTGGGCTTGCGTTGCCAGGGTGACACCGCCAGTGTCCCGCTCCGGCCACTATGGGCATTGCCATCTTTGTTGCGGAGTGATGGTTAATTTGCATATTACTCTTTTATTAGATAGGATAGTTTATATTTGGGCGCAAGATATCTGCTTGCAGTTTCACTTAATTAATAATGCTGCTATCATTTTAGTGGATAAATCATATGGTAACTCAATGTATAGTGTATATCTGATAATTATATTTCTCAAGTTCTTGAGAGTCCAATGCTGCCACTTGATAACTCTCATGGTGTTTTGTTTCCTTGTTTTGCAATTTGGGTCTGTGAACGCATCTTTGGGAAAGCTTTATCTGTGGGAATACCAGGCGGCAAGGAGTATGGGTCAAGAGGTTGCTCTTCCAAAGAGGTTTTATGTTTGTTTCTGTTGTATGCTTCAGGGTATTACCAGCAGATGATCACTTTGTATGTTAATTTCTTGCCTTAGGGATTCCAGGATCCTGCAAGTGGTGTAAATTCAAACCGCAAATCTGAGGGCAGTTCTGTAAATCCTAGAATTCTCAATTGGCTTTTTGTTTTCTGTGAGACAGATGCTAAACTAATTAAAAACAGGGGGTCAGGTAGTAACAAATGCCTTTAAGGAAAACCAAGCAGGGAAATGGATAGAAAGTAATGGGAAGGGAGAGGGGCTGCTTTGAGGCAAGGCATCAGAGTCATCCCCCAAGGAGATGACATCTGAGTGGATGTGAAGCGAGAGAGCTCGAGTCATGGAGAGATGTCTGGGGGAAGAGACTTTAAAGCAGAGGAAGGAATGTTGCAAAGTGAATCAGAAGTATATGGTCCAGGAAAGCCAGGCAGCCAGTGTGGCCATGGATGGGGGGAAGGGTGGCTGGAGGGGTTTGGCAGGGTGTAGATACAGGGTTCTGGTCTCTACAATCAGAAGGGCCAGGTCCAGTTCAGCTCAACTTTGATTCCCTCTGCCTTTCACCTTCTTCCTTTCTCCTTTCCTTCCCCAATATCCTCCCCCACTCCCCCTTCTTTTTCCCTGGGCTCACCTGATAGCTGAAGGCTCAAGAGTGAAGAGGAATTTTTCTGGAGAAACTCTGCGATGACTTTGGCCCCCTCAAAACCAAGAGCATTGTCAGAAATATTCTAAAACACAAGAAAACAGTTGTGTATGTACAAACCCCAATAAAGGGCCCTCATTAACAAATGATGTCCGAGGGGGGCTGTCCAGAGACCTACGCTAAGGGAATAGCTTCTCAGTGGGGAGAGGGGTCTGGGGTGAAAGGATGGGAAGGATCAGTGTGGTCCCGAGGAGAGAAGAACAATAGGAGGCCGGCTTTTCTGTTGCCTCACAGTGAGGCCCTCGAGCTGGTCTTAGTTTGCTCTGAACTTAGCTTCAATCATGCCCCACCTCCCCAGCTGAGCTCTTAGTACTTTAGATAGCACATGACAACTTTTTAAAAACCCAAGTCAGCTATATTTGAAGAGTTTGGCATAAAATAATTGGAAAAAAATGAGATTAGAGTAAATAATCACTTGCCAATTCATTCACTGATTCATGAAGCATGAATCACTGTACTGGGAAGAGGTGGGGAGATAAATGGATATAGTCCTTGCCCGAGCTGGTTTGGCTAAAGGATAGAGCATCGGCCTGTGGACCAGAAGGTCCAGAATTTGATTCCGGTCAAGGGCACATGCATGGGTTGTGGGCTTGATCCTCAGCAGGGGGTGTGCAAGAGGCAGCTGATCAATGATACTCTCTCATCATTGATGTTTCTATCTAACTCTCCCTCTCCATTCCTCTCTGAAGTCAATAAAAATTTAAACAAAATATGGACATAGTCCTTTCATGCTAGTGGGAGGGATTTTATATACATTAGCCATTATTATCTTAATTTTTGCATGTTTTTATTGTGGTAAAATAGATATAACACAATGTTTGGCATCATAACCATTTTTTGGTGTACAGTTCAGTGGTCTTTAGTATATTCATATTGTTGTGTGACCATCACCATCATCTATCTCCAGGCACATTGTATTTTATGAAATTATTTCATGTCTTTTTTTTAAATTTTACTGTAAGGCAACTACACAGAAGTGAGTTCGTCTATTTAGGGGTTTATGAGGTCCAAATAGAAATGGTTTCTTAGGGTTTCCTACAGCCACCAGGAGCACAGGCCCCCCTGGCCAGCCTCTGAGGTGTGGCCCTCCTCTGAGAAGTCAGTTCTACAGGAGAGGGGCCCCCAGACGCATTGCACAAAGCCTGGAGGCTGGCCTGGGCTCAGGCAGGGGCCTCGGCTTGTCTCCAGGGGGCTCTGGGACCCAGGGTGTGGTGGTGGAAACCTGCAGTGCAGGCACAGTACCAGCTCCTGGAGGTAGTAGTTCTCTTGTAGCATCTCCACCAGGCTCAGGATGCCGTCCTCCATGATACTGTTGTCTGCCAGCTCCAGGGTGATCAGAGTCGTGTTGGACTTCAGCCACGAGGGGTGGGGGGGAAAGACAGAGGTGGTCGGTGACTGAGGCAGGTCCCTGACTTTGCCCAGAACCTCCCAGCCATGCCAAAGGGTATGGAGATGCAGGCCAGCAGTTTCGGAGGAGTAGGCAGGAACTGGAGAATGGGGCAGGAGATGAGCCGTCCCACCGAGGCTAGGACAGTACAGGTGGGCAAAGTGGGTTTACAGTTGTGAGCACTCGAAACAGTTTGTTCTTGTTATTTATTAACGATCGGGTCATTTATTTCTATTACAACTGTCAACCTGCTTTTGTCCACCCCTGCATGCTGATATTTTATATTTCCATTTTAGATGCATATTTTCTAGGGCAATGTGCTTTTCCTGGGCCCCTTGACCCAAAGGGGCTCTACAGGGGAATTTGCAAGAGGAACATGAAAACAAAGCCCTGGAAAGTGAGAGGTCCAAGGACCAATTATTTACTTAGCCTCGAGGAGAGAGGCCTGTGGCCTACTCCAAGATGAAGGAAAACTTGATACATATAATACGAATATTTTAGCACAAGGCCTGAAGCAGGAAGCATTGCAGTGCCTGCTGCCTTGGGAAGCCTTTCTCGCAGGGTAGGCTCCGGACACAGCTGGTACCCTCTTTTAGTTAGGACCCTGCCTTGGACTATTTGGAAGGAGTTGGACTTAAATAAATATCTAGATCCAAGCTAGTCTGCATCCCCACAGCGGGGAAATGACTGGCATTGAAGCCTGAGGGATGGGGTTAGCGCTCACCGGCACCGTGTGCCCGGTGCAGAAAAGCACAGAGAGCAGACACATCTCTGGATGTGACCATGTTCAAAGCAAGCCAGGCAGTGAGAGAAGCAGCAGGCGGCAAGGAGCTCTAGCTTCAGCCAAAGGGAGAAGGTGCTGGAGTGAGGGACGGTCTAGCACATTGTTACAATGAGGGACAGTCCACGCAGGGCCTTCCTGCGATGTCTGTGGTCCCAGCTCTCTGGGAGGGGCAGAATTCCTTTGTGCTCAAGGTCAAGGAAGATGGCTCAGGTGGCCGCCCAGTCTAGGTATCGTCTAGCAGTGTTCAGAAACAGGTTAAAGGACTGCTTCCAGAGTCACCCAGGGACTAGCACAGTGTGTGCTACAGCCGGCAGCCGGATCCCAAGTCCATCCACAGTCATCCCACCCTCTGTGCTGAGTGTTGGGGGAATAAGACGAGCAGAGAACATCGCTGCTCTCCAGGGCACCGAGTGCAAGGGCATAGGGCCAGGCGGTTGGGAAATAGAAGTGAAGCAGCGTGAAATAGGACCCTTCCTAGCGGGATGCCTTTGATCTACACCAGGCAAATCCAACATGTGAAAAGTTCAACAGCACAAAAGATAAATAAAATTTGAGTCCACCAGAATGTCACAGTAATTGTCAAGTGAGTGATACAGAGAATCAAGGAAGACAAAACTCCCTCCAAACAGGAACTACTGTCACTGAGAAACACATGGCCTGAGTCCTGAGAGGAGTTCATTATGAAGCTCAGGAGGTTATTATAATCATTCCTAACACGACATGAATCAGTCTTTTAATGCTCAATAAATTTCAAGATGGCTTTGTTCTTTCTCTGCTCTTCCCTTCCTTTCTTCCCCCTCCCCAGAAAGCAGCACAGCCTCACATTTTATGTAACTTCTTAGTGGGCATGAGCTAAATGCAAATGTTCTTGCATTTCCAAAGATGAGTGAGTGCTTTTTCTTTTATTAATCGAACTTGCCCTTTACTGTCCTAAGTGAACAAACAGTGTAGCGCTCACGTTCGGCTGTTACATTCTCTGTTTTCCTGGGACGGGAGTCAGCTCCGCACATAATCAGTTAGGATTATAGAGAGCTATGATGAATTCAAGGGCAAGCGCTTGTTCGCCCATGCCAAGCCTGGAGAGAACATTATTCCTATGGGAAAACCTGACCCACTCTACAGTGTGAGCCTTAAGGATGATAACGTTGTGAAGGCAGACCCCGGATGGAATGGCTCAGGAGTGAACCCACTTATAGCAAAGGTGAGCTCTGGGAGTGAGACCCAGGCTGACCTTGTGCACCATGCTCCCGAATTAGCACCCAGCCCGGCCACTTTTCCGGGCCCCATGGGCTGGTGCCTTTGTTTCCCGAAGAGGAAAGAGCACAAACTTCCAAGGCCCAGGTCTCTAGCAACCTCCTTCCCAGGACCTATTGGGGCATCCCTGACTGTTGGGAAAATGGGCAGTCCAGCCGAGCCCATTGGCAAGGTGGGCATCCCAGATGCAATTTAGGTTCCCTTCCC